AATATGCGTTTTTGCTGCCTGTTGCAGCGCTCTAGCGCTGCACGGCAAAAACGCATAAAAATGGCATATTTTTGCAGCGCACTGTAGGACAGTTATTCCGGTTGCATTCCCATTATGCATGAGTTCCAGTGCTGCTCTAATGTCTCTCTTAATTTGCACGCAAAAAAACCAGCAGCTGCACTCAGAAAAACTGTGAAAATACAAAGAGAGGCGCATAATAAAGTTGCAGGAGGGCGCTTGATCGGACAAGTTGTTAGTGGCAGCAAAGTTATCGAAATTGAGTCGAAAATGCTTGTGACTGATGACCACTGGCATGCGGTGTACTGGGAAGTTAGCACTGATGGAATGATGCTGAATGTGGATAACGAAAGCAACACACTGGACACTCATATTATCCTGCCTCAAGTGTATACATGGATTTTAGGTATGTGTAGGTGTCAAAACCGGCGAAATTTTCACTGTGGAGCATTTGAATGCCGCAACTGCCTGTTGCTGTTGTACTTTATATGTTGAGTTCTAAAGATAGTAACATATCACTATTTTAATCACTTCGTGAACATCACCATTGTCTTAATCATTAATCACCATCTCATCGCTGATTCATTTTTTTTTGTTGCTCGTTAGCTACGAATTTGTAGGATCCCGAACTCAACATGGTTTATCAGGCTTTGCCGGTCAGTTAAGGAACGTACATCTTTGTGGAAATGAGATTATTTTGCGATCTTTGGTAAGGAAACAAGGACGAGATGTGAAGGTAGGCGTTCTCGAATTCAGCATTATTTCACAATTTTTGGGTGGCACGAAAAATGCATATACATCTGCCAAATATTTAATAGAAAACTACACGGGAGAGATCCTATTAAATCCGGCTCAGATGCCTCGTCGTATTGTGTTAGGATAATTTGGACATTTTCCTGCAAATCTCTAACAAGCTGAAATTTGGAGCGTTTTATTTTCGGACAAATTTTAGGTAGGAACTATAGAACCCATACTGTTCTGAACAATAAATAAAATTGCTGAATGATGCCTCTGGCTTTAACACGCTTAACTTCTACTGACTTGCGTGCAGAAAGGTGAGGACAAATCCTTTTAAGCCGTGATGATAACAGTTTTTCATACGTTCGCATTTGCAAAGACACTTTCGAGGAATTGGAGTATAGGATACCTCCAGTAGGCTGACAATACATCCAGCATGTCCAGAGCACTAAAGGTTATAGGGTACTTCATTTCACAGGATAAAGAAGATGGGACATGAGGAGCACTGAACTTTTTGCCAACAGGAATTTGTTTTGAATTAGAATCTGGCTGAAGAAAAAAGCGAATTCATGACATGCAAAATGGCTTGTCATGAGCCGGCTTACTTTAAAAGCTTTTGCTCACACAGCTAATTTTAAGAGCTTTTGTATGAAAATAGCTGAGGAACTAGTTTCACACAAACGCTCTTAAATTTAGCTCCGAATGTGCATCAGTAACAGTATCATTATGACAGTTGCATGTTTGAGTCGAGGTAACTCTTCCCTCTAATCCCGCATTTGGATTGTAACAGCAGTAGAAATAAGTGATGTCTGAACAAGTATTTCCGCGATTGGTGGGTTAAAAAGTAGATGTAACCAACTTATGTACGTATTGTAGGTAGCTAGAAGCGGGCAAGACTAAAAAATCCAGTCTTTGCTGCGATGGTTGCGTTGAAGGTTTTGTGCTAAATGTGTGGACGATTCTAGAGATTTATATGAACTGCTCTTCCATTTTTTATCGAAACTACATCACACTGTTATGCATTTGAATTCAGGGCGTTGAACTCGGCGAAAAAGGAACATGCAGAAATAGTGACTGCTTAAATGGTGGCCAGTGTGTTGAATTTTATGATAGTCATCGATGCAATTGTAATAATACTCCCTTTGTTGGACAGAAATGTGAGCAAGGTATCAATACTTTTGGTCTGCAGAGTTGACTTCACTAATTTAGAGGAAAAAAATTTGAAAATGTTTTCAATATATTTTACACTGATATTCCCGCTTTCAGAAAGGAAAGTATTGACCAATTTATTTCGACGCTTAAATTTCCCGCATTCCTTGTTTACCGCTAAATTTAGTACTTTCTAGCTTAGCACTGCCAAACATTTTCGGCTCACCAAATACTGTGATCCTTCAACTGAATTTTTCATTGATTTGGCTAACTTCTCAAATTTCTGAATTAGAGTCGATGCTTTGTTCTTCTAGTACAAAGGATTCTCTTGTTCCCTACAGTATTACCTGTAATCCAAATACCCGTGTGAATGTGTTGCAAGGAAATGCTATTTGAGCATAATGTTTTGCAGTTCGCCATAGTTTTGCGAGGGAATTTTGCTGAGCTAGAACGAACAAAAGAAACTCACTGCTTAGTTTGGTTCTGTAAGAAAAAATTTTAAGATGTTGGTATGTCAGTGCCGAAAGGCTCGGAGCTGGCGATACCGTGGCAGCATCCGGCTCACGTCTCATCTTGTTTCCGCATCGCTGTGCAATCATTTTCATCGAACTACTCATTAATCAGAGCCAAAGCATTATTTGCTGACTGCCAGTTTAATCTAACCGTCAATGCAAAAGGTACTTCTGCTCATGTGAAAATTTCTTTGTGGTTGTCCTGTAGCAAATGAACTTGCAAGGAGAGAGCACAGCTAATCCAGAAGCGCTTGCAGGTCGCCTTGAACTCTCTATTTTTGACGGCTTCTTCTTTCACCACAAAGCTGCTGACGGTGTACATAAATTTGATGATAACGAACTTGTCGATGTGAAATTCTGTGCAAAAAAGAATCGCTTTACACTTCAGGTTTTCGTCTTCACTATTTATGTGTTTTGCGCTACAACAGCTGTAAAAAACGCATGTTGCCACGACCCTGTGTGTATTTGTGTATGTATGTGGTTCGAATTACCCCATTTTTTGACTCAAGAACCAGGAAAGCTCAAATGGGAATATACTCTCTTCTAGCGTGCGACCCAGCAAATTTAAATTCGTCTTTCACGTACTCCTGAGTTTCACGTAAGCACACGTGAAAGTTTTGACTGATCAGAACATTTCGGCGATTTCTGGACAAATTAAATAGAAAAGCAGTGAATATTTTGAGAGTAAGGGCCCGCTGAACAGAACGATACAAAATGTATGATCGCACCAGCTCTCCGGGTATACCGCTGTTTATTATAGTGTGAAGCAACTTTTTTAGGCAGTTTGGTCGATTTTTGAAAATAATTTTCCGAAGTACTATTTTCGTAAAATTTTGTGGAGTTAACGTAAAAGTCTTTTAGATTAATGATGAAGATGCTATCCGTATCACTGGCAACTGGTCATTCTTTCGGCAACTGAATGTCTGGAATTTTGTTGACAAAAGTATAAATTTTATTTGACACTGAATACTTTCAAGCTGCCTCATGATTCACTGGTAGCTGCGGTAGCCCAAACTGCAGATAAGAAGGGCGGGGAGAGTGAGGGAGGGAGTTTCTCTGTTTTGGAAAAATTAGTAAATTTTTATGATTTGTTAAAAAAAAAATAGTTGTGTTGGTAGTTGTGGTATTTTACTTGCGTTGCATGCAGTGTTTTACCGTCGAACTCGTCAGGAAAATATGTTTCAGTGAATTTTTATTTATGCAAGTTACTAAAGTTTTTTAAAAGCGCTTTCGCTGTACCACTTACTGCTTATTCTGGATTACAGATTTCACAGGCTGTATCACACGGCTGCAGATTGGTGCTGGCTTCCCACTGAAGGACCCATCATCAGCGCGCCTTTCGTATAAAGGCCCAATTCGCTTTGGAACTTGCCCACACGACCAGCTGTAAGCTTTTTTTTTCCGCTCAGTTCTTAAGATAATTTTTGTTACCGGCTTTCTATCGCTTTTCATGGAATTTTTGTTACCGGCCTTCCATCGCTCACAAAAATTTTTTCTGATGATAAGCACTCAAAAAAGGGTGTCACTTATCTGCTTAAATTATTTAAATTTGATACAGTTCGCATATTCTGCAGTCAGTTTGCGGTCAGATTTTTCGATAGCGTAGTTTGCAAATGATTATTGGTGAAAAAAAAAACAGATGAAACTGAAAGAAAAGAGAGGGGATGGGTCGAGAAATTACTATAAAAAAGAAAAAAAAATGGCAAAATATTGAGTTACTGCTTACGAAAATTAGACAGACAGAAGCAGATGTCAACCGGGAGGGAAGAGAAGTTTAGTCAAAAGGTACAAAAATACGATTTCTTGCAAAAATATAGTAAATAGTAGAAACTGGAGTCAAACACTTTTCTATTTTAATAAAGTCTTTTTTAAGTCCTTTTTTAAAATCTTATTTTCTGTTTTATCTGTTCCTTCTTCATCCCATTCTCATCCCCTAATCCCATAATCGTAGCCTTTCCCTTTTTTTTCTTGCGTCTTTCTCTTTTCCTTTTTCATTAAATACTGCGACCGTCATACTGACGAGGTCCTGCCTCAGTGTTAAGACGTATATGACTTAATGGACCGAAACGTCTTATCTCATTCTTGCCTCCTTTCCTCAATATGTTCCTGCTTTCAGTGCGCCTTCGACGCTTCGGTATCCAAGTCAACCTGGATGCTACAGTCAGTTAAAAAAAATTTACTGGTAGCAGTGATCGTCAGGCAGTTTACGAATTTTTCTGATTTTTCAAATTGCAGGCTTTTGGAGCAACCACGAGAACAAGAAGAAGATGACCTTTTATCAGGCATTCAGATACATGCTGTCAAGAAACATCGTACTTCTTTACTTATCTTAACGCGTCAGTTCTATTAGCTTTTGCTTGTTTCGGGCCTAAATTTGAAAAACGAAAAATTTCAGTAGTATGTCAGCAGGTAGGCACAAATAGCGCATTCCTTTAGTCTCGACGAAAGATTAATAAATTCAGTACTCAGTCGTATGACTGAAGGTGTTCATCGCAACGTAAGGCCTAATCAGACGAATGCGCTTTAATGTCTTCTCGGCTTGTCTGAAGCTGCCAGAATTTGAAGTCCCGCAGTCTCACTATGCTTCGGCATTTCCTGGGCTGTTGTTGCTCGTATATTAGTACAGTGAAGCACGGGTCTGAGCGTAGGCGCATGTTGTAAGATTTTTCCCTCGAAGAAGAGGGCAAGGTGCGATGTGTTACTGTCGTCATTTTCTAACCATTTTGCAACCAACCAATAAAACTGCTGCAGGATTAGTTGCCTTCATTTTATTTATCTTTCCCCTCCCTCCTCTCCCCTTGCGCTCTCCCTGCTCTTTCCTTACTGCACTCGATCCAATTTCCCACATAGTCAGTGTGTTAGATGTAAATTTTCAGCAATAATTGGCGTTATTACGGGTTGTGCTGTCTTTCTCTTCATCCTGACAATCACATGCTGGATTCGTAACCGACCAGACGGAGTTTATAAAACCAACGAAAATATTTTGGCATACTGTAGCCCGAACAGGTCGGAGGACCCGCTTGTCAATAAATGCGTTAATAAAGAATATTTTTGTTGATAAATCAGAATTCCTTTATTTTTTCCGTTTTTCTCGTGTGAAACAGGTTGCTGTACATTAAGTTAGTTTTTTATAAGCACTTTCTATCTTTCTAATGGACGTATCAATTTAAGTTAATGCTAGCAAGTCCCAAGGAGACGAAATTTTCATCACATTGCTTCTAAACAGCCTTTGAGAAAAGGATCTATTGATAGCCTTGCCAGCAGTTAGTTGCTATTGGCACTTTCCACCACTCGGGCTATTTTCGAGTGCCTCTACTCCTTACAGAGGGCGAAAATAACGGGGCTTTTGACTTTTTGACTAGATTACTTTTTTGCGAGAAGACATGTTGCTCTAATTCGAGAGTATCTCCGAGACTAATTCGAGATTACCTGACAAGAAAATAAGTTCATATACTTATTACTGTTTCATTTATGACGGTATTGTGTTTTTATAAAATGCAGTGATGTCATGTTACAGTTTCGGCAGCCATCTCCATTTGTGTTGCTTACCAGACGTAAATTTTTGAAGAAAGCGATTTAGATGGAAGGACTGTACTGAATTGTCGCGCTGTCAGAGCTGAATTCTGAACATACCGTTTGCTGTTCATCCTCAAAACCAGTGCCTCGATCCTAAAAGACCTGTGCATGGGATAAACCGCTATCATCGAGTTAGGTCGCAGGGATATTTGTTTGTGTTGACTGACTAGCCATCAAACATCAGTGACACGTGCTGAACAGGAGACGTGACAAAGATAAATAATACTTAGCATATTTAGGTTTTAGTCTCCTCTCAGTTTATTCAACCAGATAATCTTGGGGGGATGTTCACAGGTTTACTGGAAATCGCTGCTACTTTTGAATTTTGAAATTTTATTATGCATTTGTCCGTGCCTTATCACTGCTTGCAGAATTTCCTGTTCTGACAAATTTGAAAAACTGCTTGCTGTGCGAGTTGTTTCAATCATAATTTCGTTCCTCCCTACCCTACAGCGATGTCATTCAGGATACTGAAACTGCCGACGTCAGTCTTTCAAGCTCAGACATATTGTACATATTCGAAATTTCCTTTTGTATTTTGTTAGGATTGGCCAACAAATAGACGTATAAAATGTCAGGGGTTCTTGATTGTGTAGGACCTTCTTAGTTTGTTTTGCTAATTCTTTTCTTTAATTTTTAATTAATAAGGCAAGAAACGAGCAGCAAAAGGTGTGTAAAAACAAGGGACGTCAGCACCGCTTCAAACTCATCCACTTCCTTATCCTTCGTGCAAGCCGCCGTGTGTTATATATCTTCCTCCGCATCATTTCCATCGAATCTGAAATGGTCCTGTTAAGTGCTGCCCACTGATTAAATTGTATTTTTGAGATGGTTTTGATTTCTGCTTCTTGTCAAAATGTTTACATCCACTGTTGAACATGAGTTTTAGAAATGGTTGGGCAAGAAATTTGCCAGGACAAAAGACAAGTGGTAGTGCTTTAGGCATTACCATTTGAGCGTTTTTTTGCATCTTTGCAGTGCAAAGACATATTTGTGGGCAGGTTATTTGTGTACGTCTGTCGTCTTCGCATGTCTGTATGTGTGCGGGTATCCATCCGCATATTTTTTGTCCAAATTTACGAAATCTATGAGGCTGAAATCTTATTAACATGACCTACTAGTACGGATAGGGTGTCCGCTTCTAGACACGGACATGTGAAAGACATTTTGGCGGAAAACCGGTTTCGGGGACCAAATAATGTAGGACGCTGGAACTCTGCAAAAACGTTCCTTGTCTATAAACTAAACCCCCACGCATGTCTACGTGTCACATATGGATAAGTCAGAGTTCAAATTGGCACTATGCGAATTTTAAAACCAGGTCGAATATAAATAAGATCACATGAGGATTTCTGCAGTCCATATGTGGTACTTTAACATAAAATGGTCTTCTGTTGCTCCTTACATCTCACGTACGGGCATATGCAACTTCGCGTAATAATTCTGCGCATCCGCAACCAAAGCAACTAAAGTAATTAAATTTTCTGAGATCATATTTGGGCAGGTGCACGTTAAAAAAACTTTCAAGTAGCCCCGCATCTCCCACACAGAAACATGCAGTTTGATGCTGATATTTTTGCATTTCCGCAGCAAGAGCAGCTAGA